GAACCGCTGACTTTTCATTTAGCAGCTGAGTGCTTAACCACTGTTCCACCGGGGCTCCTGTTCCTTGTATAGTCAAGTGTTAAGTGTCATCTCTCTGTTCATCTTATCCAGGGCGTCCTTAATTGAACAGATCTTTAATTCTGAAGTATCATTTCCTCATCTTTGTATTCATGGTTTATGCCTTTGGAGTTTTGTTTATGAAGTCCTGTGGAGAGGGGAGTGTCTAGCCTGTGAAGTTGGAAGCTCCAAGTCCGGACAGATCCTAACGTTTTCTTTCTATTCTTCCTCTTTTCTTCTCGGACTTCTGTCTTTAAGAGAGCATCGCTGATAAGGATGGAATGGAAGCCAGCCCACTGACAGTTTCATCCCAGGTGAGTTGAGGTGTCTTCTCTGTTTCTCGGCTCTCTCAGTGAAGGTTCCCCCATAACTCAAGTCATGAGATTCATTTGTCCAGTGGCAAGTAATTGTGAAGCATTGTCTCTAATCTGCTTTCCCAAAATTGGGATAAGGTTTTTTTTTTTCATTTTCTAATGGTGAAAATATGCATAACTAAACACATGCCATCTCAACAATTTCTACGTGTACGATTCGTAACCTTGATTATATTCTTCAAATAGTGCAGTAATTCTTGTTATCCTTTTACAAATAGAATTGGGATAATTTTTGACAATCATAAACATCATAAAAAATACCGCCTTCTACAAAACTGGAGTTCAGTTTACAGGATCCAGAAGGAAAGAGATGGAGAAGAGTTACTAACAAATAGAAAAGGGGCATGTGATATTTTGCCTCTACAGGGTCCCCTTGATGCGTTCAGAGATGGCCCAGGAAGGGCCCTCTCTTTATCCTGTTGCCTGGACCCCTCAGGATTCTAAGCATCTCATGCCCACCCCCTCACCAGAGGCCTCAGTCTCTGCTCCATTCCATAGTTTCTCCTCCCATTTCTTCAGAGCACCTCATTCCTTATCCTCTTCCATGGTTTGGAAAACCACTGCTTGTCTGACCCCTGGATACTTCCCCAGCTCATCTCTGACTCACTCAGACTCATACTTCACCACAGTGCCCGCCACCAGTGTCTGGCCATCCTCTAGAGAAGCTGTGGCATCCACAGTTGCTGAGTCTCGAAACTTGGGCCTTTAATCCTAGGTCTAAGGGCTGCATTTGCACCCTGTTTCTGTTGCTTTTAAAGAAACATCCAAGAACATAAGATCTGGTAGGAGCCAGGGCCCAGAGCCTAGACAAAACACATTGAAAGAGAGCATCACAAGATCTACAAAGGTGACAAAGAATGGCTCGAATATAATATGCACTCAATAAATGCCCTCAAATATATGATTGAACATGGTTTCTCTAGGACTTTTAGAGAAGTGATCTCTGCTTCCATTAGACTAAAGGGTTGTTCTGGCAGTAGATGTTGATCTCTGGATTGACAAGTGCCTGTTAAGAGAAGAGGTGAGCTCTATCTGCTGGGTGGGTCCCCCGATCTACTTGCTGTAATCTGGGGTCAAACACCCTGGCACTTTCCTTCCCCATCTTTGGAAATTTCAAAGATCTTACTTCTTTCTCACTGTACTGCAGTCACACTGGCACCTCTCTGTTCCTGGCATGGTCCCAGTGGCATCACTAGGGTTGGTGTCACCCAGTGCGGTAACTCATAGTGTCACCCCCCACCATGGACCTCCTCCTGTACCAGACCATTCAGAATCCTTAGTAATGTTTTTTGTACTAATGTTACTCATAAATCGTAATTCCCATATATCACTCCTTCTTTTTATGTAATTACTACTTCATTCTCAAAAAAGTTATTGACGTAGCTTCACAAATAGTAATTACCACAATATTGGAGCTAAAACACCAGAAAATTTGACAAAATCTATAAAAACACCAGTGGCAACGAAAAAACAGCACATGCTTGTAGCGCATGCAGACGAAATGACGTGATTGTAATTGGATAATAATGACAGCTCTGACCGGAACGCATTAGGAGTTCAAAAAGTAAATTAGCATAGAGTTTTAGCTTGTAGGTATACTGATACATGTACGCTGGGCTTATGAAACATGGTTTTGTTGTTATAACTACAGGCATATTTTTATAAAAAAGAATAAAATTCTGCTGAAACTCTGCACAAACATTTTATAGACAGCCATTTTAGTGTCATCTCCTCTGACAGTGTCACCCAGGGCTGTCTGTACCCCCAGCACTCCCCTAGTGATGCCACTGTGTGGTCCCACTGTGATGGACAAACTCTAAGGTGGCCCCCATAATCCCCACCTCCTAGTACCCATACCCTTATGTAATCCCCTCCCCTTGAGTGTGGGAAGGACCTATGACTGGTATCTAATGAATAGAATATGGCAAAGGTGACAGGATGTTCATGATTACATGTGGGTGATTCTGTTATGTAAGATGGTGACTTCTGTCTTGGCTTTGAAGAAGCAACATGCAATGTGTTGAGCTGCTGATAAAGAAAGTCACATGGCAAGGGACTGAGGGCAGCCGCAAGCTGAGAGCCACTCAGAAGCTGAAGCTATCAGTCCAATAGCCTGCAAGACCCGAATGCTGACAATAACCATGTAAGCCTGGAAGTAGATCCTTCCTTAACTGAGTCTCAGAGGAGATCTGAGCCTTAGCCGACACCTTGGGTACAGCCTTGCAGAAGACCTATCTAAGTAGTGCCTGGACTCTGACCCACAGAAACTGTAAAGTAATAAATAAGTGTTGTTTTAAACTGCTAAGTTTATGGTAATTTATTATACAACAAAAGATAACTAATACAGCCACCTCAGGGCATGTAATTTGATGTCCCTCAACCTGTAATGGTCTAACAAAGACCCTTCGCATGGCTGGCTCCTTCTTATCCACAGGTGGGTGTCTTTAAAGACTAGAAATTTATTTTCTCACAGTTCAGGAGGCTAGAAGGTGGAATTCAGGGTGTAGTTCTAAGGGGAAGTTCTTCCTGGTCTATTTCAGCTTCCAGCAGCTGCGAGCAATCCTTGGAGCTATCCTGGGCTTGTAGACAGAATCTCACTTGGCATCTGTTTTCCCCTGTGTGTTCACCTATGTCTATTCTATTCTTTTTATAAGTCAAAAGTGGTTAGGTTTAGAATCTACCCTACACTAGCATAATCTCAACTGATTGATTGATTATATTACATTAGATTGCATTATGGAAACTGATTACATCACACTACATTTGTTGTTTGTTGCCATCAAGTTGGCTGTGACTCATGGTGACCTTATGTATAACAGAATAAAACATTGCCAGTCCTGTACCATCCTCTCAGTCTCTGATATGTTTGAACCCATTGTTGCAGCCACCGTGTCAATCCATCTCATGGAGGGTTTCTCTTGTTCTCACTGACACTCTACTTTACCAAACATGATGTCCTTTTCTAGCGATTGGTCTGATGACATGTCCTAAGTAAGCAAGAAACATCTCACCATCTTTTGCTCCTAAGGAGCATTCTGGCTGTATTTCCTCCAAGACAAATTTGTTCATTCTTATGGCAGTCCACGGTATATTCAATATTCTTCACCAACACCACAATTCAAATGCATCAATTCTCATTCGATTTTCCTTTTTCATTGTCCAGATTTTGCATACATATGAGGCAGTTAACAAGACCATGGCTTGGGTCAGGCGTCCCTTGGTCATCATAGTGACATCTTTGCTTTTTAACACTTTAAAGAGGTCTTTTGCAGATTTTCCCAACGCAGTACATTCATTTGTTGACTGCTGCTTCCATGGTCACTGATAATTGATCCAAGTAGAATGAAATCCTTGCCAACTTTAATTTTTTCACCATTTTTCATGATGCAGTTTATGGGTCCCGTTGTGAGGATTATTGTTTCCTTTATGTTCAGGTGTAATCCATACATTAGATGTAAGATAATTACCATATTTTTACACAAATAACACCCAAGTTATACTTTTTTTGCCAACCGCACCACCCCCTTGCACATTATTTTCCTAGGCACACTGCATACATTATATTTGTGGGCTTGTTATTTATGTGGGCATGTTTTTGAAAAAATACGCTAGATCTAATTACATCTACACTACAATAGATGTAAGGTACTTACATTATGTTAGATTTCATTATCGAAGGTAATCTGTTCTACCCAAAGCTAACTGATTTTATCAGTTGATTAAATCATAATAGCATATGGGCAAGATTTCAATACATATTTTGGGGTGGGTACAATTCCATCCATAACACAAGGTTTTCTGAGAGTGAGGAAGGAAAGAATAGCAGCAGGTTTTCTTGCTTTTGCCATTCCTGTCTGCTATGGATTGAATTGTGTCCCCTAAAAATATCTGTCAACTTGGCTGGGCCATGATTCCCAGTATTGTGTGATTGTCCCCCATTTTGTCATCTGATGTGTGTTGTAAATCCTATCTCCATGATGTTACTGAGGTGGAATTAGCGTTAATTATGTTAATGAGGCAGGACTCAATCTACAAGATTAAGTTGTGTCTTAAGCCAATCTCTTTTGAGATATAAAAGAGAGAAGTGAGCAGAGAGACGTGGGGACCTCATACCACCAGGAAAGCAAGGCTGGGAGCAGAACGCATCCTTTGGACCTGAAGTTCCTGCACGGAGAAACTCCCAGATCAAGGGAAGATTGATGACAAGGACCTTCCTACAGAACCGAGAGAGAAAGCCTTCCCTTAGAACTTGCACTCTGAATTTAGACTTCTAGCCTCCTGGACTGTGACAGAATAAATTTCTCTTTGTTAAAGTCAACCACTTGTAGTATTTCTGTTATAGTAGCACTAGATGACTAAGACACTGTCCCACGCTATTGAAACAGGCAGAACTACTCAGAGCTTCTTGCCTCCAATCTCATCCATTTTCCAGGTGGGGACACTGAAGCCCAGAGGGGGCAGGGCTCATCCATGGTCACCTACTGATCTGGTGGCAAAGCTGGGGCTGGAAGCCTGGGCTCCCAGCCTCCTCCCAAGCCCTCACGCCTGCCCTGGGTACCAGCTATGGGGTCACTTACTGGAAATGGGCTCTGCGGGGTGCTCCTCCTCAGAGGTGGGTTTTGCAGCCTCTTTCATGGGGTCCTCTGCTGTTTTCCTTGAGGACCTGAAACCCCAAAGCCCTCATTCTTCTGTGTCTCTGGTCCTTGCCCATCTCCACAGGCTTGCCGATTTCCCATGTCCATTCTTGAGCACAGGTGAGGGGGAGGGCAGGAAGGACGGAGACCATGAGAGCCATGCCTCCCTCCCTCAGCCCTAGTATTACCATCTGGAATTTCTGGCGAAGAGAAAACAGTCCATCCCTGAAGCCAGGGCAATCACAGTTAGGCAGTGCCAACAACGACCCCTGCAGACGGGGAGGACTGGGGACCTGGACAGGAGAGAGAATCAAGACCCAGGCCTAACACATCCTCATCCCTGCCTCCACCTCCAGCCCCAGGTTTATGGCTTTATTTCCACTGTCATTTAATAAGCACTTGTTTTCCAGACATTAGGAGATAGCAGCTTGTGATATTTTAAATTTTATTTTATGGTTGTGCTTTAAGTGAAAGTTTACAATTCAAGTTAGTCTCTCATACAAAAATTTATACACACATTGTTTTCTGACCCTACTTACTCTCCCTATACTGTGACAGCACACTCTTCCTTTCCACCCCGGAATTCCAATGTCCATTCAACCAGCTCCTGACCCTCTCTGCCTTCTCACCTCACCTCCAGATGAGAGCTGCTCATTTAATCTCGTGTATCTACTTGAGCTAAGAAGCACACTCTTCACAAGTATCATTTTATGTCCCATAGTCCAGTCTAATCTTTGCCTGAAGAGTTGGCCTCGGGAGTGGTTTTAGTTTTGGCTAATGGAGAGCCCAGGGGCCACATCTTCCAGGGTCCCTCCAGTCTCAGTTGAGTCTGGTCTTTTTACTAGAATTTAAGTTCTGCACCCTACTTTTCTCCTGCTCTGTCAGGGACTCTCTGTTGTGTTCCCTGTCAGGGCGGTCATTGTGGTAGCCGAGCACCCTCTAGTTCTTCTGGTCTCAGGCTGATGGAATCTCTAGTTTATGTAGCCCTTTCTGTCTCTTGGGCTAATACTTCCCTTGTGTCTTTGGTATTCTTCATTCTCCTTTACTCCAGGTGGGCTGGGACCAATTGATGCATCTTAGATGGCTGCTCACTAGCTTTTAAGACCCCAGACGCCACTCACGAAAGTGGGATGCAGAACACTTTCTTAAAAAACTGTTACGCCAGTTGACCTAGATGTCCCCTGAAAGCATGGTCCCTGGACCCCTGCCCCTGCTACTCTGTCCCTCAAAGTGTTTGGTTGTATTCAGGAAACGTCTTAGCTTTGGTTTAGTCCAGTTGTGCTGACTTCTCCTGTAGTATGTGCTGTCCTTCCCTTCACCTAACATAATTCTTGTCTACTTTCTAGTTACTGAATACCACTCTCCCTCCCTTCTCACCCTTGTAATCATCAAAGAATATTGTCTTCTGTGTTTAAACCTTTTCTTGGGTTCTTATAGTAGTGGTCTTATACAATATTTGTCCTTTTGTGACTGACTAAGTTCACTCAGCATACTACCTTCCAGATTCCTCCATGTTATGTTTCACGGATTCATCGTTGTTCTTTATCATTGCATAGTATTCCATTGTGTGAATATACCATAATTTGCTTATCTATTCTTCCATTGATGGGCACCTAGGTTGTTTCCATCTTTTTGCTATTGTGAACAATGCTGCAATGAGCACGTGTGTGCATATATCTATTCGTGTGACGGCTCTTAATTCTCTAGGATATATTCCAAGGAGTGGGATTGCTGGATTATATATGGTACTTCTATTTCTAGCTTTTTAAGAAAGCGCCAGATAGATTTCCAAAGTAGTTTTACCATTTTACATTCCCACCAACAATGTAGAAGTGTTCCAGTCTCTCTACAACCTCTCCAACATTTATTATTTTGTGTTTTTTGGATTAATGCTAGCCTTGTTGAGGTGAGATGGTATCTCACTGTACTTTTGATTTGCATTTCTCTAATGGATAATGATTGTGAGCATTTCCTCATGTGTCTGTTAGCCACCTGAATGTCTTCTTTGGTGAAGTACGGGTTCATATCCTTTGCCCATTTTTTAATTGGGTTGTTTGTCTTTTTGTTGTTGAGGTTTTGGTGTATCTTGTAGATTTTAGAGATTAGACATGGATCAGATTTGTCGTAGCCAAAAATTTTTTCCCAATCTGTAGGTTATCTTTTTACTCCTTTGGTGAAGTCTTTTGATGAGCAGCTTGTGATTTTAATAGCACCGTGGTCTGCAGTCAAATGGACTGGGTTCAAATCTCAGCTGTGTGATCTTGGGCATGCTATGTGTCTTAGGCTGAGTTCTCTAGAGAAGCAAAACCAGTAAAGCATATAAATATACACAGAGAGAGATTTATATCAAGGAAACGGCTCACACGATTGTAGAGGCTGGAACGTCCCAAGTCTGTGGATCAGGATAGAGGCTTCTCCTGATTTATGTAGCTGCAGGTGCTGGCAAACCCAAGATCAGCAGGTGGGAGAGCAGGGCTCTTGCTCACAGGCTGTGAAGATCGACAAATACCAAGATCAGCAGGTAAACTGCTAGCTCAAGTCCCAAGAACCGTAGGTCAGATGAGCAGGAGGCAGCTACAGGATCCAGAGCAGGCAAAAGCCAGAACGTCCACTTATATTTGGATGCAGGCCACACGCCCAGGGAAACTCCCTTTCAACAGACTGGCTACTCACAGCAGATCCTGTCATGGGGTGATCAGATATAAACACTAAAAATCATGTCCCACCCAAGGTGACACACAATCTTAACCACCACATAGGAGGAACCTGTACATAGATCAAGAGGCAGTTGTTCAAACACAACAAGGGGATACTGCGTGGTTTAAAGTCAGGAAAGGTGTGCGTGAGGGTTATATCCTTTCACCATACCTATTCAATCTGTATGCTGAGCAAATAATATGAGAAGCTGGACTATATGAAGAATAATGGGGGATCAGGATTGGAGGAAGACTCATTAACAACCTGCATTATGCAGATGACACAACCTTGCTTGCTGAAAGTGAAGAGGACTTGAAGCACTTACTGATGAAGATCAAAGACCACAGCCTTCAGTGTGGATTATACCTCAACATAAAGAAAACAAAAATCCTCACAGCCGGACCAATAAGCAACATCATGAGAAATGGAGACAAGATTGAAGTTGTCAAAAACTTCATTTTACTTGGATCCACAATCAACACCCATGGAAGCAGCAGTCAAGAAATCAAAAGACACATTGCATTGGGCAAATCTGCTGCAAAAGACCTCTTTAGAATGTTGATAAGCAAAGATGTCACCTTGAAGACTAAGGTGCTCCTAACCCAAGCCATGGTATTTTCAATTGTATCATATGCATGTGAAAGCTGGACAATGAATAAGGATGACCAAAGAAGAATTGATGCCTTTGAACTATGGTGTTAGCGAAGAATATTGAACATACCATGGACTGCCAAAAGAATGAACAAATCTGTCTTGGAATAAGTACAACCAGAATGTTCCTTAGAAGCAAGGATGGCCAGACTACGTCTTATGTACTTTGGACATGTTATCGGGAGTGATTAGTCCCTGGAGAAGGACATCATGCTTGGTAAAGTAGAGGGTCAGCGAAGAAGAGGAAGACCCTCAATGAGATGGACTGACACAGTGGCTGCAGCAATGGGCTTAAGCATAACAACGATTATGAGCATGGCGCAGGACCAGGCAGTGTTTCGTTCTGTGGTACATAGGGTCACTATGAGTCGGAACCAACTTGACAGCACCTAACAACAACAACAATATTATGTTTGTTGGGTCTCTGTGTGGCACAAATAGTTTGCACTCAACTGCTAACCTAAAGTTGGACGTTGGAATCCACCCAACGGCTGCAGAAGAAAAGCCTGGCGATCTACTTCCGTAAAGATTCAAAAACCCAAAACAAACCCATTGCCATCGAATCAATTCCAACTTATGGCAACCCTGTAGGATAGAGTAGAACTGCCCCTACAGGGTTTCCAAGGCCGTAATCTTTATGGAAGCAGACTGCCACATCTTTCTCCCGAGGAGCAGCTGGTGAGTTCAAACCACCAACCTGAGAACTTAACCACTGTGCCACTATGTAATCCTTCGGTAAAGATTACAGCCAAGAAAACCCCATGAAGCAGTTCTACTCTGTAACACATGGGGTCTCCATGAGTCAGAATGGACTTGACAGCAACGGGTTTGGTTTGGTTTGGATTATGTTTGTTGAAGAGATAAGGAATCAGAAGCACAGAGAGGTTAAGTAACTGGCTGAAGGTCACACAGCTAATAAGAATTGGAGCCAAGATGTGAATCTATGTGACTATATTGTCCTTTCAAGAATTCAGGGCTGAGAAATATAGGTGCTCCCTGCCAGTCACACTCAAGTGTTAACATGATTCCTGACTCCCCCCATCAGCTCACACCTTCTTTCACTGGCTATCTCCCTAACTCATTGTCCTTCCAAACATTATTTGTTTTCTTATACAGCTCTGACAGGTAGGCATCATAAACCCCACTTACAGGTAAGAAAACTGAGGCTCAACGTACCCTAGAGAGTTTACCAAGGCACACAGCTAGGAAGGGGAAGTTCAAGGGCCTGTGAGCTAGGGACTGAGGTTTAATTGCTAGACTAATTGCTAGACTCCATCCCATGGTAGGGGAAGACCAGATGGCTGGGGCCAGCGTCAGCAAAGGCCACTTGGACCACAAGGGAAATCGTATCTGAGGGACTCACCTATCACCCTGACCAGGACCAAGGTGGAAAGGGCCAGGCGAGGCATTTGGTTGAAGTCCGCGCAGTTGTAGAGCCCCTGGTGCTCCCAGGTCAGAGCCCCAGTGATCAGCTGCTCCCCAACAGACTCCCAGGAGGAGCGTTCAGGGGTCCAGCAATACTCCGCTTCCGGCTCGGACTCAGCCGGACACTGCAGGGTCAGGTTGGAGTTGAACACCGCCTCCACGGCCTCCTGGTGACATCTACACCTGGTGACGTCTGCTCGGTCAGGGCTGTCTGTGTGCAGAGGCCGAACATCATTTGCTCCATCCACTATTGGCAAAGTATCCTCTTCTGTCCTGTTCATGTCCACATTCTAAATTTTGCCTTTGTTTTTTCTTCTCGGTTCTAACTCATGAATTCCAGGTTGTAGCTTGGAAAACAAAGGCTTTTCTATCTGCTGTTGAAAGGAAAGGTCTCTGGATGGCACAGATGGTTTACACTTAACTGTTAACCTGAAGGTTGGCAATTTGAACCCACCCAGCAGCAGTGTGGAAGAAAAGCCTGGTGATCTGATTCAGTAAAGATTACAGCCAAGAAACCCCTATGGGGCAGTTCTACTCTGTCACACATGGGGTCACCATGAGTTGGAATCAACTCGACAGCAACAGGTTTGAGTTTTTGATTCTGGGTGAAACGAAATCTCAGCAAAAAAGGAGAAAATGCTCCCTTTTCCTCCTTAGCTGCATATGAAAGCGATCGTAGTCCTCGATATGGAGAGAAAACAAGCAACTGCAGAAATCCCTGCCCTTGCGAAAGTGAATTCTAACAAAGGAGCCTCATAAGACATCCAGGCTTCAGAAATTGTTGCTGTACCCTGTGAATGTAGCCCTTAACCTCTAAAAAGTTTACAGTTCTGCTGGAACATCTTACTTAAGAAAAGGTGTGGCTTTGGTAACAATATTTCAATTTGCATCTCTGCATTCTTAACAATGGAGGGAGAGATTACCCAGTAAACAAGGTACGCAGGGGCTTATCTGTGTTTGCTTCTTAATCTGTAGTGAACAATTTCACATGTTTTTCACCGCATCTAACATGGGAAGTTGTTCACTACAGATTAGGAAGTAAACACAAGTAAACCCGTGCATACCTTGCTTAATGCAAACCGGTGCATACCGTGCTAACTGGTTAATCTGACCCTGGATGGTGTCCCTGGGTGTTGCAAATGGTTAATGCATTCGGATGCTGGTCAAAAGGCTGGAAGTTCGAGTTCACCCAGAGGCACTTCGGAAGAAAGACCTGGCAATCTGCTTCTGAAAAATCAGCCGTTGAAAACCCTATGGAGCACAGTTCCACTCTGGCATACGCGGAGTCGCCCTGAGTTGAAATCGACTCCACGGCAGCTGGTTACCGGTATTCTCAACATTAGTTACTTGTGTTGTGGGTTTTGTGAATATGGCATGTGTGAGACTATGTGCATTTTGCGAGTGTGTATTATGTGTCTGTGATGTGTTATGTACTATTTGTTGCATGTGTGAATATCTACTGCGTGCATGTTATGTGCCTATGGGTTTTGTATGAGTGTGTGTTGTGTGCCTGTGGTATTGTAAGTCAAGTGTATGTTTTGTGCCTGCTGTGTGTGTGTTGTGCACGTGTGTGTGTGCTGTGCATGTGTGAATATTGTTTATGTGTGGCTCTGTGTGTGTATGGTATATGAGTTGTGTTAGTGTGTGTGTATGCGTGTGTGTGTGTGTGTGTATGTGTGTGTGCATAGGGAAAATCAACCCTCTTCTCCCAGAGAAACAAATCATGTACACCCCATAGAGAGCCACCTAGGTCTTATGGAGGATGCTCCAAGCTAGGAGCCAGCCCTTTCCCTGTGGTAGGAGCCCTGCTCTGCCGTCAGCACCTGGGGACTCCCCACCCCTTCTTTTGGTCCGTCTCTGGGTATAGCTCAGCAACTCTTAACTTTTTTCAGAGTTCTAGACCCTATTGAGAATCCAATGACAAACTGCGGACCCTTCTTTTAGAAAACAGCACATTTTGTGTGCATCTTGAAACCACTCAAGGATCATCCCCACTCCCAGGCATCCACAGCCCCAGATTAAGAACCCCTCATCTCTTCTGACCCTGAAAGCCCCCAATTCTCAGAGGAATGAAGGAGAGAAACAAGGAAAGGAGACTCATCAAAGACCTGAACTTTAACAGAACCCAGACGGGACAGCTGGGTGGTACCGTTGGACACCAAGCACCCTCACATCCAGCTTTGCCTTCATGTTCCCTGGACACAACATGGATGGTGAACGTTCTCGTGGTAGGAGACGGGGTGAAGTCATGCGGAAGAAATCAGGAATAGTCGGTTGCGGGGGGCGGGAAGTGGGTGGGACTGGATCTCCACCCAGAAGATCATGGTGGAGCCCTCTACCTCTACCCCTTCAGCCACCTCCCTGCTGAGTACACCAGGATCCAGTGTGATTTCAGCGGGGTCAGGACCATCTGGGAAGACAGGAACAATCACAACAGTAACACCTGCAACAGCTCTTTGGGAGGCGGAGACTTAGGGGGTCAGTAAATGCTAATATTCCCCTCCTCTCTAGCCAAGCTCGAATCAGTTGAGAGAGAGGTGCAGGAGTCTGATGGAGGTAAAAATGGCAGCTTTATCCCTGGGTAAAGTGGGGTTGGAAGAAACATTCAAAGCATGCCAGCAAACGCTCTTTTCCCACCCTGCCTCAGGCAAGGTTTTGGATCAACTATCCAAAGGTTTGGGGATTCAGAAGCTCAGTTCTAGATAAGTTAGAAGTGTCCAGTAGAATTCGAGTTGTTGTTAGTTGCTGCCAAATCAGTTCCCACTCATGGCGACCCCAAGTATGCAGAATAGAACCGCTCCACGGGAGTTTCAAGGCTGTGACTTTGCGGAAGCAGATTACCAGGCCTATCTTCCTAGGCATCTCTGGGTGGGTTCAAACAGCCAACCTTTTGGCTAGTAGTCGAGCGCTTAATGGTTTGAGCCACTCAGGGACTCTAGAGACGTCAAATAGACGTTTACATGTCTGGGGTCCAAGGGTAGACATATCCACATTTTTTTGTTGTTGTGACTCTTTTATAGCAGATTACTAATTCTAACAGATTTTTTCTCTCCTTAACTGATTTTTGAAGATTATATTTTATTGTGTTTTCAGTGAAGGTTGTATTTACAGCTGTGAGACAGAATGAGATCACCATGGAAGTAAGTGTCATTGAGGGACTGGGGAGAATAGAAAGGGACTCACAGTTCATGACCAACAGGGTGGGGATTGCTGCTCTGAACCTGAAGGTGACCCCAGACTCCACGCTGGTAAGTCCCAGAGTCCTTCCGGGGGACAGTGAGGATGGCGATCATCTTGTCATCCATGGACAGCTGCATCTGCGCATGGAGCACGAGGCAGACATTGTTGAAGACCCAGTGGATGGTAATGTTGATGTGCTTGGTGCCACAGTAGAAGTCCACCTTCACCCTCTGCTCTATGGCAATGCCTTGGCTGATTAAAATGATGGGCTTGGCCAGCGAGTCTGAAGAAAGAGAGAGATAGAGAGAGGAACACATAGAAAGAGTCACAGAGAGACAAGAGTAGATTAGAATTGCCAGAAGACACAAAGGAGTCGAACTTCCTGGGCTCAAATCCTGGATCACCTGCTCCTTCTAGGTGTGATCTTGGGTAACTTACTTCCCCTTCTCTGAGCCCCATTGAATGAGATTGTACAGGTAAAGCAGAGGGTCTGGGTCATAACAAGGGGTGAATTAATACCAGCAGCAAAGAGAATCAAGCTTGTAACAGGGATGTCAATCATGACCAACTACCCACTTCTTAGCCAACCTTCCCCACCCACAGTAGTGACAGCCACAGTCCACCCCTTTACCCCCACCCCCAGAGCAACCAATTGGACCAGTTGTTGCCAGACCCTGGCTGAGCGGATCAGATTCATCCTGTTGAGACTTGGGATGTGGAACCCTGGTGGGTGCTTGAGGTGTGGAGGCAGAGATGAGAATGACAGCCTTGTTTTCGGTGCCCACACCTCTTTATCTGCCACCAGTCTCAGGTGTCCCGGGGGTCGCCAGCAGAGATGGAACAATATCCTTCTTACTCTGGGAGGTGTTACATAGGTTGATGTCAAGGGTGAGCTGGGCCACAGCCCACAGACTCGGCACAGTCAAGAGTGAGGCTGGAAGGGGAGAGAGGAGGCATTCAGGAAGGGAGAGGCAAGTTGGGAAGTGTCCAGTTATGGTCTTCCAAAGTGGAGGGAGGTCTGAGGTCACGGACGTGGCACTCCATCTCCAGAGGCTTGATGGTACACACTACTTACTGGCCATGTGACTTGGGACATGTTTTTTATCCTCCCTGGGCCTCAATTTCCTCATCTGTAAAATGGGCATAATATTACCTGCACCCCACCATTGTTGGAGGGGCGGTAATAAATATCAGTGAGGTTTAACTGCGCCCCCGATGGTCACTATGTTCTCTTGAATGATGCCCTACAGGAGAGGCATGGTCATCCTCCCCATTTCACTGAAGTGGAAACAGAGGCTCAGAGAGGTGAAGTAACCTGCCAAGACCACACAGTAAATTATTGTTGTAGCTGCTGACGAGTCATAGCAGAGTTTAAACCTAAACCTGCCCTGCCAACTCTTAGAGACGTGCTCTCAACACTGTGTGATTTTCCCTGTCAGCTCAGTGATGGGCACAGAGCCAAGCCCCATGAGAAGGAACTTCAACTATTATCTCCAGTGGGAGAAATTAACCTTTGGTACTTCCTCAGGCAGAGAATTCTGTTAGATGGGAGAGAAAAAGGGAACAAGAGTTTTCATTTGGAAGGAAGCTGGAAGAAGACTGTGGGCACGGGTGGGGGACCCCATGTGTGTCAGAGTAGAACTGTGTTCAATAGGGTTTTCAATGGCTGGTTTCTCAGAAGTTAAGTTGCCAGGCCTTTCTTCTGAGGCATCTCTGGGTGGACTCGAAACTTTGGTTAGCAGCTGAGCGCTTAACTATTTGCACCACCCAGGGTCTCCTCTAACCCATCAAAAAACAATAAAATGGAACAAAACAAAACCAGGCAGCGACCCTATAGGACAGGGTGGTGGTGGTGGTTGTTAGATGCCGTCGAATCAGTTCTGACTCATAGCGACCCTGTGTACTACAGAACGAAACACTGTCAGATCCTGCGCCATCCTCACAATCGTTGCTATGCCTGAGCCCATTGTTGCAGCCACTGTGTCAGTCCATCTCGTTGAGGGTCTTCCTCTTTTTCACTCACCCTCTACTTTAGAAAGCACGATGTCCTTCTCCAGGGACTAATCACTCCTGATAACATGTCCAAAGTATGTAAGACGCAGTCTCGCCATTCTTGCTTCTAAGGAGCATTCTGGTTGTACTTCTTCCAAGATAGATTTGTTCATTCTTTTAGCAGTCCATGGTATATTCAATATTCTTTGCCAACACTACAATTCAAAGGCATCAATTCTTCTAAGGTCTTTGTTATTCATTGTCCAGCTTTCGCATGCATATGATGCAATTGAAAATACCATGGCTTGGGGTCAGGCACACCTTAGTCTTCAAGGTGACATCTTTGCTTTTCAACACTTCAAAGAGGTCTTTTGCAGCGGATTTGCCCAATGCAATGCATCTTTTGATTTCTTGACTGCTGCTTTCATGGGTGTCGATTGTGGATCCAAGTAAAATGAAGTTCTTGACAACTTCAGTCTTTTCTCTGCTTCTCATGATATTGCTTATTAGTCCAGTTGTGAGGATTTTTGTTTTCTTTATGTTGAGGTGTAATCCATACTGAAGGCAGTGGTCTTTGATCTTCATTAGTAAGTGCTTCAAGTCCTCTTTACTTTCAGCAAGCAAGGTTGTGTCATCTGCATAATGCAGGTTGTTAATGAGTCTTCCTTCAATCCTGATGCCCTGTTCTTCTCCATAGAGTCCAGCTTCTCGGATTGTTTGCTTAGCATACAGACTGAATAGGTATGGTGAAAGGATATTCAACAGGACAGGGGAGAACTGCTCAGTAGGGTTTCCAAGGCTGTAATCTTTAAGGAAGCCAACTGCCACATCTTTCTCCCAGGGAGCAGCTGGTGGGTTCGAACCGCTGACCTGTAGGTTAACAGCCGCGTACTTTAACCACTGCAGGTTACACATTTCAAAACCATTTCTTCTCCTCCAAAATGCTTTCGTAACAATATATTTCAGTTCCTCCCTTTTGCTCTGATTGCTCATTAGGCAAAAATGCCACCTCAATCCCCCTTCCTGATGTGTGGACCTGGCCACGTGGGGCTGACACTTTCTGCCTCTGCCAGTCTCCCTCCTGGCTGCCTGTCTCTCTTCATCACGCTCCATCTCTTTCTCCCCACTTATCTGTCGCTCCCTCTCTCTTTCTTGTGCTCTCTGTTAGTGTTTTTTCCCATCTCCCTCTCTCCACAACTCCTTTTTTCTCTTTCTTCCTTTACTCTCTCTTTTTCCCTTTCTTCTCTCTCTTCCCTCCTCCTCTCATCTCCTCTCTCTTTCTCTGTTTTCCTCCCTATTTTTCACTCTTTGTCTCTGTCTCTCCTTCTCTCTCTCTCTCACTCGCTCTGTTTCTCTATCATTGGGCTTCTCTGGTCTTGTGGCTCTGAATGGAAACCGTGGTGGCCTAGTGATTAAGTGCTACAGCTACTAACCAAAAGGTTGTCAGTTCAGATCCACCAGGCGCACCTTGGAAACTCTGTGGGGCAGCTCTACTCTGTCCTATAGGCTTGCTATGAGTTGGAATCCACTCGACGGCAGTGGGTTTGGTCTGGTTTTTGTTTTGTGGCTCTGAATCCATCTTTGTCTTTGGTCTGTTTGTCTCTCTTTGTCGATTTCTTTGTGTCTTTCTTTATTTCTGATGCTGTCTCTGTTTCTTTTTCTCTTTCACACACATACACACACACACACACACCACTGACAAAGGGACACACGCAACTCTCCCCCAGCCTCGCCCTGTCTGGGGGGAACAGGCACTCACCCAAGAACAGGACTCTGGTCCAATAGGGACCCTTGTAAGTCAGGGCACCCCATGGGTCCTGGCACCCAACTCTGGCGTGCCCAGCCACCTGCCTCTCTGGTTCACACGAGCAGACACAGTCCCCCACTCCAGCTGTGCCCCGCCCCCCAGCCTGTCTCTTCCCCTTTTCCCTGCTGCAAACTTATATGCCCTGCAGTAACAGCAGCTCCCAATACAGACGGGGTAGGGAGGGTGGGACTCAGCCCCACCTCTGCCCTCTACCCACAGGGCTCACTCTCCCTTCCTCTGCCTGGCACAGAGAGCAGGAGCCCCAGGGACCCAGGAGTTTCCCCAGAAGGTGGAAAAGGCGAAAGAACAGCCTGCCCTTGGCTCTTGGACCCCTTGACAGTTACACCCCCTCCCCGCCTCTCTGGCAGAATGTGTGAGCAGCCTGGGGAGAAGCAGCTCCATGCAGGGCTAACTCCAGAATGTTAGACAGAACCAGGAACTGTGATGAGGGTGCTCAACAGCAATAACAATAAAGCAACAGCGGTGGCCAAGCTCACAATGAGCCACTCGTAAATACTGAATGAGCCGGACTGATGCTGGTGACATGGAATCCTGGTCATAAACGGAGGCTCTGGAGTCAGGCTGGTGGAAAGCACAGCATGGGCAGGGCGGAGGGGCAGGGAGGGGTCCCTGGCGGAGGAGCCATCTGAGCTGAGACCTGGAGGACATAGTAAACGAAGAATCAAAACCCGTCACTGTTGAGTCAATTCAGACTCATGGCAACCCCATGTGTTACAGAATAGAACTGCTCCATAGGGTTTTCTTGGCTACAATCTTTACAGAAGCAGATTGCCAGGCCTTTCTTCCTTGGTGCTGATGGGTAGGTTCGACCACCAACCCTTAAGTTAGCAGTTGAGTGCAAACTGTTTGTGCCACCCAGGGACCTTGGTGGACATAGCAAAGGGTCAATATATGAGAGCTGTTTTTTTAATTCTCTATGGGCAAGACAAGCTGTTGGTCTTTGGGAACATAAATACCAAGATTTAGCACAATCAGGCGCATCAGGGAACTACCATTAATTCATGCACCCATTCATCCATTCATTTAACAAATACTCCCTGAGCTCCTCTATGCCAAGTCCTGTGCCCAGCAGTACTGGGGACACAGCAGTGACCAAGGCAGCCCCAGCCCTGTCCTCACAGGTCTCACAGTCTTGTGGGGGAGACTGACCCGTTCCCAGACGGTGACAGCTCACAGAGGGCAGGGCTGGATGTGGGAGTCCAGAGAGGTAGGGAGGGGGGTCTGACCCAGCCTAGAGTCAGGAAGAGCTTCCTGGAGGAGGAGATAGTTGGTCCAACAAACTCATGAGTATTGGGAAAAGAGATGTTAAATAATTATGAGATTGAGATCAGGGCAGGCTTCCTGAAGGAGGGGACCTGTGAGAGGAAAACAAGGGGGTAAGTAGGCAGCCAGCAGAAAAGGCCATCCATCCTTTCTTCCTTTCATTTATTCAATGAATACACATCCCTTGAGTACTTAGTCAATGTCCAGCCTGGTGCTGGGCTCTGCTGGGGACACAGTGGTGACCACAACAACTCCGACCTTGCAGTCTCGGAGCTCCTAGTCCAGTGAGGGAGACAGATCCCTCCCCAGACAGTGACAACCCAGAGTGGGCAGGCCTGGGAGGGAGGAGTCCAGAGAGGGTGTCTGATGGAGCCTGCGGGTCAGCCAGGGGAGACTGTGGTAGGCAGAGGGAGCAGCACGTGAGAAATTGCTGAGTTTAAGGCACAGGCAGAGCCATCAGAGTTTGGGAGCATGGTGGGATGACATGCCACAGATGTTCTTTGAGCTGGGTTCCATTCCCACCAATGCACAGAGGAGATGGGGCTGGAGGTAGCCAGCGGCCATGTTGGGAAGATTGCAACGCCGCCTTGGGGCCTTGGGAAGCAGTGCACATGGAGGTTAAGAGCCAGGCAGACTGAAATCCCTTGCCAGAAGTGCCCTGTGACTTTAAGCAAGTCAGTTTACCTCTGTGAGTTTTGGTGTCCTGAATTATGAGATGGGGATACAAATACTCCTTACTCTATTCTACTTCTGATTTTTCCATGCCATGTGTCACCTGGCCCAGGCTAGCCCAGCATTACGGATTGAATTGTGTCCGCACAAAATATGTGTCGTAAATCCTAGCCCTTATATTGGTGATGTAACCTCATTTGGGAACAGGGCTTTCTTTGTTATGTTAATGAGGCCATATCCGTGTAGGTGTGTTTTAAACCAATCACTTTTGAGATATAAAAGGAGCAGATGAGGCACAGAAGCAAGCAAGCAGGAATGGAGGAAAGA